TTGTAGTTTCTGTGTGATGGTTTTTATCCTGTTAAATTCATTTCAAATGCAGGACTCAAATCTCCTCGAGTTGCATATCCAGAAATTATTTTAGGGTTTTCTGATTCTGTGTTTGCTTGTTTTAGTAATTTATAGTTTCCTCTTTCTTACTCTGTGTTTGATATTCGAAAATAGATAATCATTATCATTTCTAGCTCTCTGATTCTTTTCATACCTTTCATTTTATCTGAGAATCCTCCATCGTGCTTCTTTTGGTCATCAGTTTTCACCGTCCTATTTTCTCTTCTTAGGTTTGTTTTCGTTTCGTCTCACTTTCTCTTTCTCTCTTTTCCGGTATGTTAGGATTTTGATTTATACCACTATATTAGTTAAATAAAGCTGTTGGTGTCTTCTCTATACTGGTCAAATGAAGGCGATGATAGTTTTTCTTTTTGACAAATCTTTTAAGCTGTGTTAATAGAATATTTGAGCGTATCTCTTAACCTTTTGAATTTCTTGGATTTTTAAAAATAATTTTCTTCAAATGTTAGGATCTGATTTCTCTTCATAGTTAAACAAATGGTTGCATAGTTGTCCATATTTAACTTTATTATTCCACATTCTCGCTTTCATATGTTGCATTTTGTTACTAATATTGTTTTGTTGTATCATTTTCTATATCTGATATCATTTTCTAAATTGAACCCATGAATCTGTCCCATCTTTGTCAATGTACATATCTATTATGCAATTTTAGCTTGTTAATGTGGTAAAGAATCCGATTGTTGATTTTTTCTTTCTGCAATTGATGTTTGTTTTCTTTTTTGGAGTTGCAGTTGAGATGTGGGAGATGCAGGGAGTTGAGCGAGAAGGAAACATGTTTGTGCCTGAATGATACTGTTACTACTTCAGGGTCCAAGGGAACCTTTAATCTTGTTCAGAAGGTAATCATTCTCTTGCTCTTCTTGTGTTCCATATATCTACGTGGATATATATAATTTTTTTCAAGTGTATACAAATATAAAGAGAAACACAAGTGACTAAAATTTTTAGAATACAATTTTTTCTCTTGTTTCCATTTTCGAATTTCTTCCAATTCTGCCAAATGATGGCGCTTTGCTCTGTCAAATAAATTTCTACGGTTTCTAGAATCCAACTGAATAAAGCTAGCAGAAATTCTAATTTTGGTTCGTTTCATTTTTAGATGCTAATTTAAGTCATTTAAATTTATCAAGTAATATTCTATAGATTCCTTGGGACTCAAGTTTTTGTCCAACGGCTTTTAGTTGCATTTATTTTCTCTAATCTAATCAACCTAATTGATGACTTTGGCATGTGAGGTGCAAGGTTTCTTTTATTGCATTTCTTGTAATTTGACAAGGACCTCATGTCATTAGCAACTAAATGTAGCATTTCACAAGATATTAGAAACACAATTTTGGAGTTTTTATTGATATAAAGGTGAAGAAAATGAGTGGAACCATATTTTGTTTGATTCCTTATTATAAAGAATACCATGTCTTTTTAATGTTTATTCCCAGATTGGTCCTTTGTAGTCTACCTGTTAATGGTTGTCTGACTGATTCAGTAACTCATAAAAGGTTTCATAGTAGCTGGGGCAGCTTTAAGCCACTGTAGTTTTTCTTGTAGTCTTTGTCTTCACTGTTGTTGATGGCAGTCATTTAGAGAATGTGAAACTTATGCAGTTAAATAAATTGCAAGGATTGAATTTGTGCATTTTTTGTAACGACCCGTGAACTTGAAAAGAAGTAAATTATAAATTAAGTGCGGAAGCGAAATAATAGCGTTGGAGTTTACATCCCCTGCACAATAATTCAGGATACTCAATAGAAATACGGGAATGACTTTTCTAAAATAACAACTAATAATCAAAGAAATAAATGAAAAATAAACAAATTAAACGTCCTACTCGCAACTCTCTTGTGGATCGGGTTCTGGATCTTGGTTCTTTTGATCTGAAATGGTTAATTGAAATAGTGAGTTACACTAATTCAGTAAGAATATCACGCTACTCACCAACACAAAAATGAAGGTTGGTAGAAATCATAAAAATAACTAATGGAACTCTTAATTTAAGTAAAATTCGTTTATCATAAATAAAATCATTTACTGCATACTTATCGTAACGAGATTTTCAAAACCGACCTATAGAGTCAATAACATAACAATATCATAATTTCATATTCCATTAGTTGGAATAATAATTTTCTCATTTATCAGTCTACTGATATTCATGGGGGTCCATAGAGATGTCCCCACTATGCGTGAATCATTTTTCAACATTTTCAACTAACGGGCCGTCCCCATATCCCGTCCGGTATGAACGCCAAGAAATATCATCTCTCAATACCCCGTCCGATATGAGAGGTGAAACGGGCCGTCTCCATATTCCGTCCGGTATGAACGCTAAATTACCAATTTTCGATACCCCGTTCGGTATGAAGCAACGTTCACGGTAGGGTTCTTTATGTACCCGATTCGTCCACCATTTCTCAGGATACCCAGTAAGACTATCATTCATCCTTCACTTAATCAAACAATCTCTCGTTTACCATTAATTTTCAGTTTCCCAATAACATGCAATACATGCATTAAGGAAACACAATTGAGTTATCATACCAATTCCAGTGTATTATCATGCATTCAAACTGTAAAATCAATCAATCAGTTAAACATGGCAAACAGTAATAAATAATCAGTTATGCCTTCATTAGTAACCTGTAATTAATTATGGATATTTTCTAATTTGTACAAAAGATCACATTATTTGTAATTAAACTTCAATTTCATAATAAAGAATAGGGTAAGAGATTCTTACTCAAATTGATGTCCGAAATGCTAAACTTTTAACTGCGCTTACCGGCAGTCCCCCGGTTCCTTGAATTTTCCTTTGAGGATTAAAATATACTTTAAGTACCTAGAAATATTATCAAAAAATCCAAAATCAGTGTTAGAAACCTTTTTTGATCAATTCCGGAATTTCGGCACGGCGGCGGTTTGCTTTGGGTTAACCGTTTTCGGCCGATTTTGTACCAATCCCTGCGAGAAAACATGTTAAGAGGGCTCGGTTGGCCAAAAAAAATTGAAAAACTGAAGCTTATCGGTGGGTGGGGGTTTTCCGGTGCAGCAGCCCTACCGGCTCGCCTTTGCAGTTGAGTGTTTTGTTTCAGTCAACCTGTAGAAAAAAAATGGTGATTATAATGGTGGAAAAATTATACGAAACGGAAATCGGGAAGGGTTTTATTAGAGGTGGTTTTTGCTTTTTCCCACGACGGCGCCGCCGGACTTCACCCGCGGTTTCCGGCTCATCTGCCGGTCCTTTTACTCCGATTTGATCATGGGGGTGTTCAAAATTGAATTTCGAGCGAATAAAATTTTTTTTACCTCTTTTGGTGGTTGGAAGTGGCTCCGATGCGGCGGTTGACTCCCTTCCTGGCGACTGCCTCTTTTTCTCCGGCGGGCGGAGGGGGGAGTATGACGGCTAGGGTTAAGGTTTGGTGTGAAAAAAAATATTTATATTCATTTCCTTTTAATTTGGGTCGTTCATCGCATTTAATTTGGACCGTCCATCGCATTTAATTTGGACCGTCCGATCGCGTTTAAATAGGAAGTGAATCTGGACCGTTCATCCCAATTTGATCTGAACCATGCGATCACGTTTAAATAGGAAGTGGATCTGAACTGTTCATCGCGATTTGATCTTAGTCATCCGATCGCGTATAAAGGGGGAACAGATCCGGACTGTTCGTGCGCGCGGGAACAAATCCGGACTGTCCGATTGGGGGCATGCGAATCGCCAGCGTGGTACTGCGTCAGCGTGCCCTTGCTACGCGGCGTGTTCTGGTTCATCGGGGCTGCTGACTGGGCGTCTTATGTAGCACAATTTTCTTAAATTGCGTTTTGACCTCCAATTTTTTATTTTTCTTTCAAACCCCCAAAATTCAAAATTTTACCCATTTTTTCCAAAATTGTTTTCAATTTCATCATTTCATTATTTTTCTTCATTTTTACATTAAATAAAAATTCAAAAATTATATTTATACATTAATTTTAAATATATTAAAATTAATTAAGGGTATTACATTTTTGAACACATTTAAATTGTGTTTCTTATGTTCATTAGCTATTTAAACGGCTTTGGTAGTGAATCATTTCAGTTTTTTTGTTCCTTCTCATCTTTTGAATGGGTTTTCTCTCTTGGGTGCTAATGTGGTTTCTTATCTATTGTATACATGCAGTGCAAATTCTGTCAAAGGGAAGGAGTTATCATGATGATTGCCGGCAAAGGTAAACCACTTACTCAGGAAATGAGTGAAGCTGGGATGGATGCCCCTCTAATGGTGTTTGACTGCCGTGGTTATGAACCTGTTGATTTTGTCTTTGGTGGTAGCTGGAAGGCTGAATCTGTGAGTTCCAACTTTCCTAATTTACCTTTCTGTGGTACAAAATGGAGAAGTAGTAGTTTTCTGGAACTTTTAATATTATTATTTTATCTTTGTACTGCTCAGATTGCATTGCTACCACAAGAATTGCATTCTGTTGTAATTTCAGCATTCTTTTTCTTTTTTTTCTTCTCTTAATTCCAGATTTTGTTGATGTTTTTCTTCGAGAGACGTGCATAGATTTTGATTAAATTGCTTTTCGAAAAAAAAAAAGAATAGTGATTAAATTGATCTTTTTTTTTCTTTGATAGAGAAATCGATCTTTTTTATAATGTGAGCATTGTGCATGAAGGCTACATTATAGTTCAAAATGCCAGTTTTATGGAATAGCAATAGGAATATGACAGAAATGAGGTGAAGATTGGAATAGAGATAATATTTTAATTTCACATTCAATTCCAAAATGATGGATTTATGATTTCTACCTAATCAAGCAGAAACATTCACTTCCAAGTAGATGGATTTAGGATTTCTACCTAATCAAACAGAAACATGAGTAGAATGCTATACCTGTGAACTTTATCGAAGTTGATTTAATTCAATTTTGGATCCTGTAGAAAAATTATGACTCCATCACACATATCAAGTAATTGAGGTCAAGGAATAGAGTAACAATAATATAACAATTGATCTAAATGGCTAGTGTTATTGACTTTTCAGATTTTCCTTCTTTTCTGATTGTCACTGGAGAATGATAAATCTATTGTCTATGTTTTACTTGTACCTTTCATTTGCAGGTAGTGTGTTTTGTGATTGGCAATAGCATAACGAACTTATTCTTGCCAAGATATTAAACTTTTGATGTTTTAGGTTGTATTAATTTCCTTGTTCCATTTTTCAATGTAAGACAAGTCGTGATTCTGTAAATGGAAAGAAATTTTCACGAGCAAGAAGCTTTTTATGTTTATGGAATAAGTAGAATATCTATTATGATTTGATTTCTTTAGAACATTCTTGAAACTTTATATACATATTGGACGCATATGATATGAACATTTCATGGATGGGAATATTTTTAACCTTGACTTTCTTTATTTCTGTACTGTATTTGTTCATTATATTTGCCAACATATTTTCATTTCGTGAGTTGGTTTCCAAAAGAGACATTGGTGATGACACAAACTGTGAATTCTTATGGTGGTCATTTCATGGTAATTAAACTTCTTTGTTGCCTCAAATCTGTGGAGAGCCTTTCTAAGATTGGCCTTCTATTCTGTTCAATTTGGATACTTTATGTCATGACCATCAACAGGGATAGCAAACTAAGACTCTAAAGAAAACCATACAAAAGACTGGAGCTTCAGGATGAAAAGAAAGAAAACATGAAATTTGTTTAGGGTATGCTTTGAATAAATCTAAAAACTTTTTGGAATTCGTTTGTAAATTAACACTTCAAAATTGTTCCTAAAATGATTCAAAATAACCTCATATAGAATAGTAAATGAAACTAGATCAATACATTCTAAATTCCATCAAATTTAGTAGAATTTGAATTATATTGTTTCAATTTCATATGGAATTCTGCATGAGGTTGAATTTTTTATTATCTCAATACAATTGACGCTATGTTCTAACTGAAATAAGTTGGAATACAAATAAATTTCATAATATTTTTGGATTTGTTCCAAGCACAGCCTGGAAAAAGGATTGATGGACATAGCAATTTTTTTTAAACAAAGGGTCTGCAAAATTCTTCTAGACATGTGAATCCACCTTTTTCGGATTCGGAAACATAATGGACAGTGTAATTGGTTCACTTCTACTCATAATCATAAATTTGCTTGTAGTTATCAGTCTTTGATTCTCTCAGAAATGTATCTAACCATCTGTCCAGTTTACCTGAACTTTGCACACACTTTTGATTTTATTTTATTTTTTTTCCGTTTTGTAGACATCTGGGACCAAGTTTGATGACATTGACTTGTCGGGAGAAGACTTTGCAGATTATGATGAGAAAGGAGAGTGCCCAGTGATGATATCAAATCTTCGTTCAACTTTTGAGGTGCTGAGGTAGAGTTCTACTCTACTAAATGTTTTTCCTACTCTGGTAAATAAAAGTCACTGTTGCCTGTGCATGAAGTAGAAATATGTTAGCGGATATATATACCTGGCATCATATGGATTTGTTCATAGATTTACTATTTAAAGTTATCAACCAGACTAATAAAAGGAATCACGTTTTAATGTTTTTCCTGACATGCGCAAGCATTGACTGCTCATTAGATCTGTTTCGGAAGTATGAAAATAGCATTGTATAATTATTCAGAAAAATTAGGTGAAGCTGGTCAAGGTATTTGTTGTTCTGTGTTTGGTTGGAAGTAGTTCTTCTGATTATGCGTGTCTGTGATAGTTGTGTACTTGTTGATCTTATTTGATTCGGAAATGGTTATTATCCACAGATGTCATTACTCCTGCTATTCTTTATTAACAAATGCTTGAGTTCAAACATGACGGTAGCATTTTTTTCCACTAGGGTAAGGGGTGCATTTATCCATACTTTGATGGGAGGATTATAGTGATTTTAAATAATGGTTAACTAGTTGTTATGATACAATTAAATTTTATGATTTTTTTTAAAATTAAAATTCGGCATTGAATTTACAAGTGTTTCAATTTATAATTTTTTTTTTGAAAATATAATTTAACCGAATTACATTAATTAAATGATGCACTTTCAATACTAAAACAAGTATCTATTTGTTCAATATAAGGAAAGAGATAACAAAAACGAGAAGTCATCAATCTTTCCAAAGGGGGCTAAAAATTGAGTATGTCTTCAATAGGTTGATGGTTGTAGTGGAAATTTCAGTTGTTAAAGTGAAAAATTAGATGTTTATTATAAGTTTTCAAAAGATCAGTTCAATTCAGCAGTAGATGATTTTTGGGTCATTTTTATAAAATCAGGATTCTGAAGCTGTTTTAAAGAAACTCTCTCTTCCTTTATGCTCATAAATCTCCTTTTTTTCCCCTAAGTGGTGCTTACAGTAGAACTTATTAAATCATCATAGAACTGTCTTTTAGACCTAAAGATAACTTTTAATTTTCAAAATGTCATCGATGAAATAACATTGGGTTTATAATTTTGGAGTGAGAACGCAACAAAACTGAAAAAATTTCACATTCTAAAACATATGGGTCATCATCTGTGTAAGAGTGATATCCCCAGTAGACTCTCTCTCACAACTACGTGGAGAATTCAGTTATACCAACATTATTATAACATATACTATGTTTCTATTTGTAAAATAATTTATTCATCATATTAAAATAAATATAATCCATATGAATCTTTTCAACCTCTAAGTTTTTGGAGTCTATCACAACATCCAATAATACTTCATATCAATATGTTTATAGCGTAAATGAAAGTTGTAATTTTTGCTACGAGATATAGCACTTTGAGAATCATAGTGCAACACATACCTTTCTTGCTCAAAGCAAAGCTCTCATAGAAATCTCTTTATCCACAAGAGTACTTTGCAAGCTTATGTAATAGCAATGAACATAGTTTTTGCAATAGAAAGTGCAACCACTCTTTCGCAACCTTCATTTTCAAGCCGCAACACTACCAACAAAATTGAACAAATAGCTAGAAACAGACTTCCTAGTATGAGTATCTTCAACCATGTTCTCATCTATATTACAGCTAATAAAGGATCAGAAATAAAAACAAAGATAATTTGGGAATATCTTTCAAATACTGAAGTATCCACTTCATTACATTCCAATACTCTCTTATACGGTTGTTCAAGAATTTGCTCACAACACTCATAGCATATGCTATATTTGGTTGAGTACTTATCCCTGCATACATCAAGCTATCAATTTGAAGCTCTTTCTTCTCTTCATCAGAAGATGGACTATGCTTATAACTCAATCTGAAGTCATGAGTGCTAACCATTTTAAATTTGTCCATATGGAACCTCTCAAAGTACTTTTCAATATATAATTTTTGTGATAGCTGAACTTCTTGGTTTTCTTATTTCTGGGAATGGTCATGCCAAGAATCTTCTTTGTTGGCCCCAAGTCCTTTATCCTAAAATACTTGCTCAGATCATTATTTAACCTGTCAATTTGAGACAAATCATAACCAACAATTAGCATTACCACCAACATGTAATAATAAAATCAAGAAATCATTATCATCAAATCTCTTGATCAAGACAGAATATAAGTAGTCTTTTTATACATGTTTTCCCATAAAGGACTCAAGCTTCTTATACCATTATCAGGGTTGTTGCTTCAAGCCATATCAGTTCTTCAAATTGCTATAAATATATTTTTTCTTCAGGAGCACCGTGAAGGAAAGCTGTCTTTACATCCATTTGTTCAATCTCTAAGTCCATGTTAGCTGACATGCTAAGTACAATTCTGATGGATGGTATCTTCACAACACGAGAAAAGATTTCACTAAAATCAACACATTTTTTCTGATTAAATCCCTTCATAACCAATGTGTCCTTATGCCAGAGTTGTGAATTATTCTCTTTAGTCTTTAAAAAATAGACCCATTTGTTTTTCAAGATCTCTCTACCTTTAAGCAATTTCCCTAACCCATAAGTGTTATTATCAAAAAGAGATTTCATATCTTAAAGCATAGCCTTCAGCCACTCATCTTTCTTCTCATGTTCTATGGCATCATCAGAACATTCAAGTTCTCTGCTTTCACTTAGTAGCACATATAAGGAGAATACGTAATGGAAGGTTGATGAGTTCTAGTTGATCTTCTAACAACAATTTCATTGGGAACTCAAGACATCATGTTCTTGAACAGGTTACTCAACAGGTTCAGTAGCATTATCATCACCAATGGGAGCATTCACATGCTCTTCATCATGTTGTATTTAGGATCAACATCAGGACTCAAATCTCTTTCAGGAGTAATAACTGCAGTAGGTAGCTCAACATCTCTCTAGTTGTTAAGGCCTGGACCTGCACTCAAATCAAACAAAGCATCATCATAAGATAGTATCTTATCTAGAAAATTCTCAATGTCATCAACGTTTGATCCTCAAAGAAGATGTTCTACTCTTAATTAGTTTTATCTTAATTAGATCCCGAAATCTGTAATCCTGATCATCAGGTCCATGGCCCAAAAAAACACGCTATGGTTTTAGTATCAAGCTTAGACCTTTCATCCTTGGTAACGTGTACAAACACCTTAAAACCATACACCTTCAAGTGCTTAGAAAATGTCCCTATTACTCCAAACTGTCTTTGCAACATCCAATCCCAAATGAATAGAAGTGGTAAGATTCAATATATATTCTGCAATACAAAAAGCTTTACCCCAGAAGCATCTAGTAACTTAGCATGGGGTAACATTCACCTTAGTTGTTTTGTTCATCAGTTCTGCTAAACCATTTAATTGCGGAGTCTTCAGTGGAGCCTTCTTATGCCAAATACATTGATTCTCGCAGTAAGCATAAAATGGACCTATATATTCTCTTTCATTATCAATGCAAAGGCACTTCACCTTCTCCCCCGTCTCTCTCTCAAACTCTTGACTGAAATTGCTTAAAAAATTTTAAACCACCATCTTTAGCCTTCAAGTGATAAACTCAAGGCTTCCTGGAAGATCATTGATAAAGGTGACAAAATAGCAAGCACCTCCGAGGTTTCTAGTCTTCATAGGCCCAGATGCATCAAAATGCACCAACTATAAGTAATCAAACTTCCTTTAAGGAGAGTTAGATTTGAAAACATTATTGTTATGTTTACTAGCCAAGGAATGCACACAAGACTTCAAAGATTGAAGTCCACCCTTGGAATATACCTTTTTCTTAGCTAAAGCTTCCAAACTCCTTTGACTCATATGATTGAATCTCTTGTTCATCTCATCACAAATTTAAAATGCTTAATTTAGGGTGTAAACATTATCCAAGTTATTTTACTCAAGCATTTCATTTCTTGTTGGGTTGCACTAATTGTGTACGTATTGTTACAATTCTCAATTTGAATTAAAATTAGCCAAATTTTTTAGAAACTTAATTCATCCCCTCTTGGGTTGCTTACTTATTTGGGCTAACGATGCATTCATTCACTTTGTATTTGTATCCATACCTCCTTAATTTATAAATTCTAGAATTACATGTACATCCTTATATATATATGTGTACATATATATTAAAAAAGTAGGGTTAGAAATCTAGTAATTGACTGTCACTTTCACTCTCATCTTCTCTCCAATCTCTTTTCTTTTCTTTGGCACCATTTACCGTCAATCACTCAGCAAAATTCACCTTATTTGCCATTAGCCACACATGAACAACCATGTAGCCATCTACGCTACATTGTCATCCATCACTGCTTAAATCACCTTATCATTTTTCATATTTTCCAAAGAATATCATCGTTGCATGCCTTCTCTATTTTCCAAATAACATCACTATTGGTGATTGCACATATTTTCCCTATATCACTGAGATAATGCAATCTTTGTTTCCTTATCACCATCGCACAGCCTAATCAGCTTTTAGATTTGGTTATCCCTCTATTCTGGTCCTCTGCTTTTTGGTGTCAACTTGTTGGATTTATAACTTTCTATCCATTTGGTTATAGACTTAGGTGGGTTATGAGGTTTAGAAATAAAATTAGGATGTTGTATCTGAATAGCTTATGGTTTATATGCTTGACTTCGATTTTAAATTCATAGTGGTTTTAGTGTTATCTTAGTATTATTTTTTGTTTTTACTAAATCTTGACAAATGGTTAAATTATCTTTTTTTTTTTTTTTTTGTTAAAACTTGAACAACGAACGAACCCATCCTTACAATTAGCCATAAAGTAGCCAATGGGGATCACAAACCATATTTTGTCAGTTCAAAAATTTATCATGAAGTTATGTTAAAATGCAAAAATGATAAACTAATTGTATAGATTTATTAAAATATGATTTGGTTAAAGAGAATACCCTAAATAACCCCACTTATTTCAAAATCAGCATTCAAATTACTAAATAACAATTAATGAAGTATTCGAAGATTCTAGAAAACATACAACACATCGGTATAAAGTTGAAAAGAGCAAAATTTATTAACATACTATTTTTTCTTTATATTAAAACGTCTCAAAAATTTACCAATAAATATGTATATCACAAACACTTAAAATAACGAAATTTAAGTAACCCATTATTGTAATCTCAATAACTTTAAATCAAAACATGTGGATTTACTTCAAATTATTATAAAGAATCAATGTTTTAAAAGAAAAAATAAGAAAAATTTTATTGTCTAAAAAATTTTTTAGGCATAGAAAGTAAAATATCTCTCCCCATTTCAATTAACATGATTATTGTTAGAATAACACATCTTTATCCACATCATTTTTACCTTCCAAATAATGGTGCTATAATGAAAAAAAAATAATAATAATGTCTTTTCTCTAGAGATAAAATAGTGTATCCACAATTTGTAACATCACTCATTTTAGGATACTTATTTAATAAACTTATATTATTTAGTTTGAAATAAATTTTTTCTTTCAAAAGACTTAAATAGGTGAGTCGTAACAAAATAAAAAAAATTAATTAATTATATTTATCAATTTGTTTGAATTATGCATCCATTTATCATTTTATTTATGGTTATGTAATAATTTATTAAATATTATAATATAAAAATAGCATATAAAATCATAATATGTAACAATGGTAATTTGTTAAATTAGTATATAAATTTTGGTACTTTGTTCTTAATTTTTATAATTTAGTTTATGAAGTTGTTCATTTACAATGGTTATACCATATTTAGATATTCTAAAAAACAACTCAAAATAATAATAATTTCTAGTTAATTAAATTAATGTACTAATAATAAAAAAAGATATTTAACATTTTTATTAATTATTAATTTAATTAATTAGTAAAAGTCATCCTTTAAATCATTTCTTTTATAAAAAAGTTAAACCTAGTATAACTTATTTAAACTTTTTTCTGTTAAAAAATAAAAATAAAACTGAATGCATAAAATAAATAAAAAATATTAAAAACCAAATAATAACGAAAAAAAAACATTAAATATCAAACTGTAACAAACTTCAATTTTGAATAATTATAATAGTCAACTTTTTACTGTAATTATTTTAATATTTATTATTAATTTTATAATATAATTAATTTCAGATTAGAACTAATTAAATACAAGTATCGGACGGACCAATCAATGTGATCTAGTTTTTCTCCCATTAGCGACTTTGAACATTCTCCTCTTCTTTTCTTTGCTAAATTTCGGCAATCGTGTTGAACGGATTCAACGAGAAGATCTCACCTATATTTCACTTTGCGCCATCACAGTCGTGCGGTACGCTGACATCTTTACTTTCTTGACTGACACCTTCTTCTCGCGCGGATCACTTCAATTTGATGCAAACTCTGATACTAACTTTGGATCTGTTATTGTTCGATAATCAAATTTAGCCTCTTATCGTTTCTACTCTTAGATTTGCAATCATATAGTATGTGATGCAGTTTGGGTTTGATTCAATTGGCTAAGCAATAAGGGTTTTTTGGAGCTGAAATAGTTATTGAATTGATAAAGAAGATGCCATTAGAGGAAGGCAAGGATTCTGCTAGGACGAACCAACCTAGGGCTTTACCGCTAAGATTGCTTCAGTTGTTGGGGTTTTTTCTTTCTTTGTGTATCGCTATTTTAGTCATTAGTATATATACGATTAGACGTTTTGGAGTTGAAAGTGTAGTAACCACATTCAAATCCAGTTATGAGCCCTGCTATGAGGAACCTGTTGGTTTGGATCATTGGATAAAACCTCCCTCCAATCTGCTTCATTCCATGACTGATAAAGAGCTTTTTTGGAGGGTGTCTTTCGTGCCTCGAATAAAAGAATATCCTTTCAGGAGAATTCCAAAGATTGCATTTATGTTTTTGTCAAAGGGACCCTTGCCTCTTGCACCTCTTTGGGAGAGATTTTTAAAGGGAAATCAAGGGCTTTATTCCGTCTATATTCACTCCCATCCATCGTTCAGTCCCAACTTTCCCCGTTCATCAGTTTTCCACGCGAGGCAAATCCCCAGTCAGGTATGCCAAAGCCTCTGTATTTCTACATTTTGCCATGCTTGTAACCCTTCTTTGCGTTAGTATTGACTTTTCAATATGTTATTTATGATTCTCCTCTCGTCTAGCTTCGCCTATTGCTATTAAAATATATATATATAGTTTTTTGCTTCATGTATTTTAATTTTCTTTTATTTTTTATCACTGTAATAAAATCTTACCTATAGTTGCCTCGGAACTAATTCTACATACTGTAAATTGAAACATTGATAGATCCATCCTCAATTGAACACTTGTTGGAATTTGACATAAGAAGATGGCAGATAGATATGAAGTGAAGATCATGATTGGAAGATTGGAAATTTCCTTTGAATTTAAAGTGCGAAAATTGCATGTTGCCATGGAGCTGAACTTTTGGAAATTATTTTTCTAATTTGATGAGATAACCTAGCAGAGATCATTGGTGAAGACGCTAATTTGACTGTCAAGTGTTTAACATTTTGGGTTGAAGAGATTGGAACTATATGCATATATCCAGCCAACTCATTGTGTTGGAGATTGCCATGTCATGATGGATTGAGCGGATGAAGTGCTACTTTATAGATTGGTCTGTGCTTGGTTGAAATTGAAAATAATAGCTGTAATTTACCTTGTACGAGTTGAAATTGAATTTCTTTTCAGCAAGGCTGAATATGTTTAACTGCTGTTGGGCATGAAGGTGGAGAAGTTTGATTTAAGTTTGGTCATCACCAAAGGATGAAACCCTTTGCCATTTAACAAGACCTGGAAATTTTGCATGTAATATGTAGGATTGGGAATAATTGTAAGATGGCTTTGGAAAATAAAATTAGCATTTGTGCTTTGGATTAGATTGGCAGCATGTCTATAGAGGTGCAACTGTCTGCTGCCACTGCATGTTGGTTAGGATGCTATGTACAGGATATGGTATGACCCCCTACTAAATGACATGATAGTATAGTCTCTCAGTAAACCAGATTCATACTATTCTTGAACAACTTGGAGCCGGGCTTTCCTTTCGCACTATTACGGATATGAAATGAAAATAATGGAAAAGTTGGATTCAATTGTCAACTGCTCCTATCCTACGAATTCGGGCTTGACAAAGTTCTCATGCTTAGACTGAAAATAAAAACAGTAGGACTACCAGAATTCCCACACACACGTACCACACCACACAAACACACACACACATCCATACCCCCACCCCACCCCTCCAAACCAAAATTTCTAAGTGTGAAGCATGAGTATGACACTTCTAGGCATTATTCATTTCTGTTTCAGGATCAGATTTTAAATAAAATTTCTTTATTATTGTATTCCCCGTCAATGTTAGATTTCCTATTTAACGTTGGAGATATCAGTTTTAAGATTCCAGATCTAGGCACTTCTTTGCAGGAATGAAATTGTGATTATCTTTTTCTGCAGGTATCCGAGTGGGGAAAGATGAGTATGTGTGATGCTGAGAGGAGACTCCTTGCCAATGCATTGCTAGATATATCGAATGAATGGTTCATCCTACTCTCTGAATCTTGCATTCCTTTGTACAATTTCAGTACCATCTATAAACACATAATGAAATCGAAGCATAGTTTCATTGGTGCATTTGATGATCCTGGCCCGTATGGACGAGGACGATACCATGAGAATATGGCACCTGAAGTGGACATTAGCCAATGGCGTAAAGGATCACAATGGTTTGAAATTGACCGAAAGCTTGCAATCAATATAGTGGAAGATAGCAAGTATTACCGGAAATTTGAAGAGTTCTGTAGGCCAGCATGTTATGTGGATGAGCATTATTTCCCTACCATGTTAACCATTCAGGCAGCTGGATCCCTAGCAAATCGAAGCATCACATGGGTGGATTGGTCAAGAGGTGGGGCTCACCCAGCTACATTTGGAAGAGCAGATATCACCGAGGAGTTCTTTGTGAGGATATTTGAAAGTCACAGCTGCAAATACAATAACAAGAACACCTCAATGTGTTACCTTTTCGCCAGAAAATTTGCACCCAGTGCTTTGGAACCTTTACTGCAAGTAGCACCAAAGGTTCTGGGATTTTAAGAGCTGCTACTTCCAGAACCAAAACTCGAATCAATATTTGAAGATGAAAAGAGGCAGGGAGCAACACACTAAACTCATTCTTATCCTAATATACTCTGTTAGAGAAGGCACCCTTCTTCCATGTTATTTGTGAGAAGGTACCCTTCTTTCACGTTATTATTGTGGGCTTTTTTTTTTTAACTTGGTCTACATTTTTGACCCTCCCCCGGATCACTTGATATCTATCTGTACAGACTAGAGGGAATTGATGCTTTTGATATTACCCAATCATACTGAGGATACACATTCATGCAGCCCGGGTTGGGTCTAATTGTCCCTCCCTTAAAGTTCATTTTTTCAGACACACTAGTGGGGTGTCTGAATAGGTCTGTTTCTTAAGAAAATTTTGTTTCCTTACAAGTAGATATTGGGATATGAGAGATTATTTTCTACTATGAATATAATGGTGTGTGATTTTCATGTAATAATAATAATAAAATAAAATTTATATATTGTATATAAATTGTTTGAGAAGATTAAAAGAGTAGGAGGATAAAAGTGTTGAGATATATTCATTATTTTCAAAAGTGACATGTACTTAATTATACTAATATGTGATTTTAACTCTTGCATTAAAAAGTGCAGCAGGTTCGTATAGTAAGAGAGAGAAAGAGAGAGAGAGAGAGAGAGAGAGGTGAAGATCTTTGCCGGAAGTAGTTTAGATGAGTAAGAAATAATAAATTTGTTAAAGTGGGAAAATAAAAAATGTTGCTCAAGAAAAATTTTATCTATCAGGCTTTTCGTTTTCAAGAGTAAAATATGTTTTTGAATATATATATATATATATATATGTATGTATTTAAAAAAGTCTATATTGGAACAATTAATTTGATATTTCAAATGTTGAAGTGTTTTGAAAAATCACTACTGGAAAAAAATTAAAGTTAGAAGGAAACACTTACATGATGAAGTGTTAAAATTCAAAGTGATGACTTGAAATAAAAAGATACATAAAATGGAGTTTAAAAAATTTGATCGAATTTTTGATGTAAACTGAAAATTAAACGTACATAAATCAAGAAATGATATGTATACATCTATTAAATTAATTACCAAGTACTATTGGTATAAAATATAATACTACATTGGCATACGTATTAAAAAATAAAAATAAGTTTTCAATTTATTTAATTTTTACAATTCTCTATTCTCTGAAAATCTAACAAATATATGGAAATTGAAAAACACATCAAATTACGATTAATTCAAACCATGGAGACTAAATTCTAGTTTATCAATTTTTTTTTTTTTAAAAAAAAGAAATCAAAGTCTGTCTCTTCATTTATTGATACTTCAAAAGAGCTAAGTCTATGTATATTATATATAAGATTATAATAATCATTATGGTATATACATAAATCAAGAATAATTTAATTTCTCATAAATATGTCTCTTGATTGAATTACTTTTTAGTGTAATTAATTCTCTAGTGACGAATGTGGTTTAACTTGTGCCACCTTCATCCTTCATATGTATGTATGTATGTGTATATATATATATATGTATAGATTCTTACAAAGTGGCAAACGAGAAGGAAAAAACTAGAGCAAACATTTAAGAAGGCAAAAAGCAAGATCCTAGAGGTGATAAAAATGTTCGTTCATTATCATCTTGTGGGTACCATTATATACACCCTATGCGACTCACTCAACGCCTATATTTACATAGCCTTCAATAAAATTCGTAAAAGATTTTGTCTTGAGATTTTCCCCGTCACTTTTTGGCTTTGCTTGCATCACCCTCTCTGTCTCTCTTAAAAGGAAGCTGCTTAATATACACAGTTGCATTTTTGCCTTTGAAACCTTTAGCTTATAAGATTCTGAGGGGAAAGTCTGATCTTTCTTTACTCATATTACTCTTCTTTCTCGTCATGTTATATTTTTTATGTCCTGAAATATTTAAAGAAAAGAAGAAGCCTCTGAAAAATGGTGCCCAAGAGACCTGCCATGAGCAGGAGTTTCAACAGAGAGAATCCAGATATTTTGATTATGATGATTACGGAGAAACAGATACTGAAATTTTGGGAGGAGAGAGAGAGAAAGAGGGAGGAGGGGGAGGGTGGCAGGAGATGGGCCCTCTAAAGCCTGCAACAGAAATGAGTGGCACTGCACAAAGAGTAATGTCTTTCCTCTCCCTCTCTCTCTCTCTATATCTCTTTCTCTCTCCAATGTCTTTTGTTTTTTACTCTTGTATTGCTTAGCTTCTTTCTATTTCTCTCTCTCTTTCCAGTTGAATTAAATTGAATTGAAGTGAATGGGTCCATGTCCAAGTCCATCCATATAATTCACTTCCGTCCACTTCTGCAAGAGGAGCTCTTTTTTGGCCTCTGTTGACAGACTCTTCCTTTCTTTTAATGGCTTCTCTGAAACGGGTTGCTTTTATTTTTGAAAAAGAAAAAAAGAAATCCATTAGTGTGTGTGCTTTAAAATATTGTGGAAAGAAATGATGAATCTTATTGGGGTCTGAGACTGTGAAACTCATCAGTTTCTTGGTTTTTGGTATCCTGGGGAAAATCCCACTTCTCTGTTCATGCAAACATATTAACCCCACTTTTATTTTTCCTGTGGCCGTAGCTTTTCCTTCTTGTTCTTTTTTGTTAAAGAAGAAAGCATGCTGTGTTTTTTAGAGACTAATCGTTGGACTGTTTTGAGAAAGCCGTCAGGTAGCGTAGGAATGCGAGGTTGGTCTTGTTTTCTTTTTCTTGTTTAGCCCTTTTCAGTTAATTTTCATGGTTTCTGTGGTTCCATATTTTATTGTTCTGGATTTCAAATATCATATTAGTGTTCAAGTACTTCAGCTAGCCATATCTAGGAACCTTGAATTCTTGGGGTTAAAATAAGTAATTAATAATTTAGGCAGATTGAAGATTGAGCTGCATATTGTGTTTAATATTTTCCAGGTGATGAGGAGAAGAATGGTGATTTTTTCTATGAAAACTGAAGTCGGCATTGAGCATTAGATGGAGAAAAACATATTGAATGTTAGGGTTGATGGAATGGAATTACAAGGAGATTCAAATCTTTTGCCCACAATTTTTGATTCGCAACAACTTACTTCACTTTCCAATATTCAACAAAATTCTCATCAACTACCACCTTCATTATATACCATCTTAGCTTCTAATCAACTCCTTAGTGATTTCAACACTAAGTTTGCTGCTCCTTCTCCAGCTTTTCAACTTAATCCGGCCATGCCATATCTGTCTCCAACTCCCTTTTCTTCATATACTAATGAACTATCCTTAAGTCTTGCAACATCCCACCCTGCTGTTATCTCAGATCATTCTTCTGCTGCAGCTACTTCTTGGAATTCTTGTAACAGCAATGAGATTTCTGTACCGCAATTCTCACAAGTAATATTGGGATCAACATATCTTCAAGCGATTCAGGAAATACTTGCCCAAATTGCTACATACTCCTTAGAAAACTCACATGAGCCAAGTTGCTTAATTGACCGGATTGGGATTAATCCATTTTCTTCAGAGAGAGGAATGCCTTGGAGGGACATTGAAACAAGGCCAGTTCAAACCAAGAAAACTCAGCTGTTGACTCTACTCCAAGTGGTATGTACTGCTGCTAAATACACGAATATGAGAGCGTACACCTTTTGAGTTTCAGTATTAAAGCTGATCTTAGTTTTAGGTGGTGATGTTTGTTTATCTGTTTATGGGTATGTTTTATCTCAAAAACAAAATCTGTTTACGGGTACGTTGTATAAGATTATTATTGAAGCCTGTTTGGTGGTATATTGTATGGTATATGTATGGGTTAATCTCTACTGATGTTAAATGATTAAATACACCAATATGAGATTCATCAAGGTCAACACTGAATGCACTTTTGGGTTTCAGTATTAAAGTAAATACACGAATGTGAAAGAATACACCTTTTGGGTTTCAGTGTTAAGGTTGATCTTGGTTTTAGTTGTTGAGGTATGTTTTATAACATTATTGGCAAAAGCCTTGTTTGGTGGTATATTGTGTAGTATATGTATGGGTTAATCTCTGCTGCTGCTAAATGATTAAATACATCAATATGAGATTCATCAAGGTCAACATTGAATAAGTTTTTTGGGTTTCAGTATTAAATCTGGGTTAATATGGTTTTGTTTATGGGTATATTGTATGATATATTGGTAAATGACACTTTGGCGGTTTGCTGGAGTAAGGTCGAGGATCAATACAACCAGTGCTTGGGTGAGATCCACACAGTTGTATCTGCATTCCATGCTGCTACAGAGTTGGATCCTCAATTGCATGCACGTTTTGCTCTGCAAACAATCTCTTTGTTGTATAAAAACCTAAGAGACAGGATCATCAGCCAAATTCTTGAACTGGGTAGTGATCCATGGAAGCCAGAGAAAGAAGGAATCTTGGATAATTGTTTCATTCAGGAGCAGCTAAAGAGAAAAAAGCATCATCAATTATGGAGACCTCAGAGAGGGTTGCCAGAAAAATCAGTATCTGTTTTACGGGCATGGATGTTTCACAACTTTCTTCACCCGTAAGTAATTCATCATTCGATCAACATCATTATTTATGCATGGAGTTGTCTTCACCCATTTGAATAATTTCAGATATCCCAAAGATGCGGAGAAGCACCTACTGGCCGTAAAGAGCGGATTGACAAGAAGCCAGGTAAGTTCTAGTCTTGTTTCTCTTCCTGAATTGAGAATATCATCTGCTGAATAAAAAGATTCTATTGATTTTGATTTCGTACTTGTATATACACAGGTATCTAATTGGTTTATAAATGCCCGTGTTCGGCTATGGAAACCGATGATAGAGGAAATGTATGCAGAGATGAACAGAAGAAAGGGTGGGAGAAATGAAGAAGGGGACCATCGGTGAAAAGATTCAATGGTTAAGAAAGCATCTGTTCATCTTTCAATAGGAAAGGTAGACATAGCCAACAAGTGTATATATAAACCTGCATTACTAATTATTTGGAAATCCTAGAAGATGAAGGAATTATTTCGTGACTTACATGAGGATATATTGTTCAACCAAAATCTTTCCTCAATAGGGGTCTCAAACCTTTCCCTATTCTTGTTGGTTATTCCTTCAAGATGGGAATACTGTTTTAGAAAAGTTGGTGCTGCTCGATATATGACATATGATTTTAGTTTTTGTTTTTGAAATTTATATGTATTATTATTATTATTTTTTACAAAATCAAATAGCTTAGATAAGAGTGAAGATTATAATAGCAAGAAAGTCAGAGAATTTGAACGTTCAATTTTAGTATTTTAGAAAATTATTTTGTTGGTAAGATGGACTGCGTTTAATGTAAATAAATTTAGGAAAAACAAAAGAAAACAATTATATCGAAATTTTAATCTATACAAACAATTATTTTCTTTCTATGTACAGGATATGGATAACTTCAATCTCCGGTTGGATGAATTATATTCTGTTTGAATGAATTTTATAGTTGGTAATTAATACACGGTAATGTATGATAATAATAAAGTTATATTATATTTAAAAAAATTGTATATTAATGTATGTTAATAACAGTTTTTTTGTTTAAATTGATATGATGATATGATTATATATTTAGTCAAATTATCGATTTATTCGTATATTATTTTATATAATATTAAATTACAAAATAATATACAAAAAAATATAATAATAAAAAAATTATATAAAAATATAATTAAATTCGTATTTAAATAAATAATTAATAGATATTATCACATTAAATTATTATATTTAATAATATATAATGTAACGTCCCAGATTTAAAAAACACCCATTCAATTTCAAGTTAATAAAATATTTTCATTCGTTTAATTTTATATATTTCTATCTATTTATTTTTCTTTTGTTAACTTATTTTATTGTAGAACGAGTAAATAAATTTAATTCATCATGAAATATAAAAATAATTAAGAGAATTTGTTTTGGACCATTTTGAAAATAATTTAAGAAATATGGACACAACTGTAATATAGAGAGGATCTATTTGAAAAGAAATTAGGAAAACAGAGGTCAACTCGCAAAAAGGGAAAGAACAGGCCACCTCAGCAACATGGCGAACCACAACGCACCGCGTGGTGGCCGTGTTAGCATGCGCTTTCACACGGGAAGCCAGGTTGTGCTAAACGGATAGGATGGCTCGGGGTCGCTCCTGCGTGCACGAACGGTCCTGATTCATGCCCTAAATAGGCTTGATCGAACGACTCCTGTTGTTCCACGCGGACTCGAACGGACACCTAGATCGAACAGAAAAAAGTATTTAAACTTCTTTTTGGCTGACTCTCCAAAACCCTAGTTACCAAATCGATAAGTGAAGGAGAAGTAGGGACGTTGGAGGGAGCTCAGGTGCTAGAGGGATGACGGTGTCATTGTGTCGAAAGTCGAAAATGACGCCAATAAGCTCGATTTTCTCCTATTCTTTCATTTTCAATTTTTTTTAAACACTTTTAATGCGGATTAATCCGAAAAACACCGCAAACTGAGACAGAGGAGATGCACAAGTCGGGCCCGATTCTGGTAAGCCGTTTGTCCCCCCTCCGTTCCCTTTCCTTCCTTAGACACTAATAGCATGTTATTTTTTTGTTTAGCAAAGGAAAGAGAGGAAAGAAAAGAAATTAAGTGAAATTCGAGAGTAGAGATCATCGCGACCGATGGTTATGAAGAACAACACTGCCACCGTCCAATTTGGGTAAAGATGCCTAAACCCTCCCCTTCGTAACAACTAACCGAAGGCCAAAGAAAAAAATAATAAAAGAAGGTGATATATATAAATAGGTATATGTATAGATATATTTGACTGAACTTGAATCTAATATGTGTCGTGTTGTTTAATTTAATCTTTCAGGTTGCCGATGGAGCTAATAAAACATTGATTACCATTTTAATTTATTCTACCTTTTTCTTAACCTATTTTACATATATTCTTGTGTATATATTACCTTATTTTTATTTGTTTTGTTTTGTTTCATATAATTTTATTTTACTATGATATTCTATATATCCTATTTCATTCGAATCATTCTCACTTTATTACATTCCGCTTTATTTTGTATTACCTGAATATAAGTGAATTTACTTTATATTTTCGTGTTGTATTTTAAGGTATTTATTTTCATTGTATTTGTTTTATCCTATTCAATGATTATTTATCCTTCGATGCATGCACAATTACGGGTTACGTATTCTGGCATTAATTTTATTTATGCATGTGTTGCATCTTAATGGTTAAAAATGAAAGGTTGTATGGGCTTGATTGGGTATATGCATATTGCGGAACATGTTTGTTGATGAAAATAAAATAGGGCATTGAGATGAATACAACTGCCACCAAATATCAGGAGGGGGAGTATATAGGGTGATCCCTATCGTGGATATGATAATCAGTCATACGGGGCTGGGAAGTCTCATACCGGACGAGGTTGAGAGATTATTCATGGCATCCTACCAGACGGAATCTGGGGACGACCAATAAAAGTGGCACCTATATCGAACGGGATATGGAGTAGCCGGTTCAAGTGGCATCCATTACTGGATGATGTGTGGGGATGACTGATATTTGTAAAAGAAATGTAGGTATCCACGTGTAGGAGAAATCCCTGTGAGGCCCATAGATACCAGTAGACGAAAATAATACTAAGAGATGGGGAAGGGAATGGTAAACAATTAATTGTATTTTATTATATTTCTGAATATATCTAAACGTTTGTGAATGAATGTTGTTTAATAAAAAATTAAGTAATAAAATGGTTTCCATAAAAAAAAAAGAAGGGTGCGACCGCACCATTATTGTTTTTAATACAAAATGAATCCTCCATAAGTTGCTTTACAGTTTTCTACAATCTTTTAGTTACTATGTCGGCGGTAAGGTTTTTGGTATTCTTATTGAGCTAGTGTAACTTAACTTTATCTTATTACCATTTCAAATCAAGACAATCATGATTCGAACCCCGAAGTTTGAAGAAATAGCTAGGAGATCATTCGTTTCTATTTCACCATATTTAAATTGAGGTTAATTATCATTATGTAGTAATTTCCTTATTTTAGGTTATGAGACATTTGAATAGACCGCTTTGGAAATTTATTTTTAGTTGAAGTGTAAGGAATATAATAATTAAGATTTTAACTCTTCTACACAGTAATAATTTCAGTATCATTATATATTTACAGTCTTGTTAAATACTCAATTCGTAATATGGGAATTGAGCCTTTACAGCTGGTATCAAAATCGTGTTCCTTGGAACCATTCCTAATAGGGTTGAAATAAATTTAATGCAATTCGAATTTCAACTATTGTCATGTAATGTGTAAAGGCTCGAAACTAAAAGAAAAATATTTATTATCTAAATATGGAAGCGAACAATAAAGTTAGAGTTTACATTCATTACACAGTAAATTTGAATGTCCAATAGGGTTATGAGAATATCTCTTCTACATTAGTTCATTAAAAAAGACAAATGATAATTAAAAACAAACGAATAGATATCCTAGGAGTTAACCTCCATTAGCACTTGAAAGGAGTCCGGGATGTGAACTACTCATAACCCTCTTATTGATCGAGATCTAGATCTTGGTTTTCTTGATATGAAATAGTTAATAAAAGAGTTATCTATATTAGCCCAATAAGAATATTACACTAATCACTGATACGAAATATTGAAAATTGGTAAAAATCACAAAATAACTAATGGAGTCCTTAATATAAGTAAACTCATTTAATATCAAAATGTTATTTCCATACTTACCGTTACGAATTTTTCAAAACTAACTTATAAGACAAATACCCATATAACATTTATAATTTTATGTACAAATAAGTAAAGTCGGTCATTCTCCCTTTTTACCTACTTACTAGGACTCCCTGGGGTCCATAGGGATATCCCTCTACTCATGAATCTAATATCTAAATTTGTTAATTTACTTGGTCGTCCCCATACTCCGTTCAGTAATCGGCGCCAAACACACCATCGCCTCAATACTTCGTCCGGTATGAGGGTGAACCGTATCTATCAAACCCCTCTAATATGGGACTTCTTAGCCCCATTCGACTGAGATAATGTTCACAATAGGGTTCCTTATATACCGGGTCCATCCACCCTTTTCCAAGGTACCCAAGAAGCCTTTCATATATAGATCTCTGTCAACAAGCAATCACCAATCGCCTACTAATATCTCATTTTATATTCACAGATCAATTAAACGACATTTGAGAAAATAGTGCATTTTCATACCTTAACAATTAAGAAACGTAATTAGGATCTTTATTTCAAATCAGTCAATCAGATAAAAATCACGATAAGACAATCAATAACGAGAAAGTAATTAAATATAATAATTTAAATCATAAGGAATAACAATAAGCAATTTAGGTAGTATAGAAAAATAAATAAACACATAGATAAGCTTAGGGCAATCGTACACTGACTAGTTTTTCGGCTCCAATAGTGGCTTGTAATTATTGTTAGAGTTTTTTAAAATTTTATAAAACACAAGATTACCGATTTATTAAACCTTTATTTATCATAACAGGGAGTAAGGTGATGGATTCTTACCCAGATCAGTGTTTCGACATGTTGTGCTACCCACTACACCTCCTTACGGGTCCCCGATTTCCTGAATTTTTCATGCAGAAATCAAACTACTCGTCACGTACTCAAAAATACTTTAAAATTTCAAAATTGGTGTTGAAAATCCTTTCTGGCCAATTTTAGGGTCTGGCACGGCGGTGCCGCTGTGCTCCGGCGCCGGCTTTGTCGCCCAAGGCGGTGGTTTACCTCGGCTTAGCCGATTTTGACATGTTTTGGTTGGTTTTACACTTATTCCTGCAAAAATACATTAGGAAGTTTCAGTTGACTAGAAAAAAAAAAAATCGAACCTAACAGTTTGGGGTGGCGGGGTCACCAGGTGTACCGGCTCCACCAGTTCTCCTTCATTTTCTCCTTCAGCTAATCTGCACAGAAAGGGATAGTGAACACAATGGTCAAAGAATCGTATAAAACGAAAAACGGGAAGGGGGTCATCGGAAGGAGTTTAGGGTTTTGGCTGCGGCAACTCTGCCAGACTTTGCCTGTGGTTTTCAACTCATCCATCATCCCTTTTGCTTTAATATGTTCATAGGGAGACTCAAAATCGAATTCTGAATGGGAATGAGAAACTTTTACCCTTTTTGGTGGTCGGCGGTGACTCCGGTGCACAGCATCTGGGGGTCGGTCTTTTTCTCTAGCGTTTGGTTATTTTTCTCCAGTGAGGGCTAGCGGTTATGGTTAAGTTCTCCTACGAATGCGAGTTTTTGACTCATCTCTTCGTTTATATGACCCTTCTATTTGTGTCAACGTTGAACGAACAGGACCGTTATATGGTTTTCTGTTTACGCTGATATCGTGAGCGAAACTGGGACATCCATCGCGATCCATCTAGTTCATGCGATCACGTCCCAAAGAAGGGAACGCATC